GGGGCCAAGGGTGCCGGGTATCGGTTCTCGTTAAACTGTTCTACCGTAAAATGCTCGACTTGGCGCGCAGGTCGTCGGTCTACCAAAGCAGGGGAGTCATCCCCTTTGCAAAGAATCAAAATTGCGATGACATGTCTTCAAATCATCCTCAGAGATGTTTCCCAGACCGTCGCCAATAGCCCATTGTGCAGCTCTAGTGCGACGTAAATAAAATACCAACCTATGCTGCTCCAGCATGGAGTACAACTAAAACGCAGAGAAAACACCTTGAGATAGCACAAAATAAATTCCTGAGGAGGATCATTGGATCCCCAGATTTTTAAACAAAAGACTGAAGACAAGTTGACAGTATTAACGAGCATATCCACATTCTTCTAGGATGCACTCAAATGTAATTACAGAAACAAATTACAGAAATTAAGGGATATATATATATCCCTTAATTTATAATATATATATTAAAGCCAGTCGTAAGGCTGGGACTTCGATAAACAGTAAAATTTTGAAACGATAATTTTTTAATTATAATTTTTTTAACGATAATTTTTTAATTTAACAAGGCATAAATTTTTGAAACGATCGTCAGGACCAGTTCCAACAATTTCTCTGACTTTGTGGCACAGTCAATGAAGGCGTCGCTCACTCCCCTGGTGGAGGACTAGTTATTTACCCCAGTCCTATTTTTAAAATTCCCAAGATAATTATCTAATTTCATTTTAAAAGTATAACTAATCAAACAAATAAAAATAGAAATTTAAAGAAAAGAAAAACTAAATTTTTTAAAAACTACTGAAATTTTTAAACATGCTACTTAAAATTATCGTTCTACTTGTCTACCTTAGTTAAAGCTCAAGGTTTATGATTGACAAATACGGTAAAAAAAAAAAAAAAATTTTTTTTCAATGTAAATATCGCAACAATTAACAAATTAAACTATATAACGGAATAAACATTCTTTAATTAACAGTCGAAACCCGTGTACATCACAAAGCCTACGAGAATTTCATAACTCCGAAAAAAAACCTATTAATTTCAAAGTGTTTCTCAACCAGTTCAATTTATTTTCAAGAAAAAGCATCTTGAGCCCTTGACTCTTATAATCAGGCCTAGGTCGTCTCCTGCGACCTTGTCTCTTGGGAGACACTGCTGTCACACGCCAACCATAAAACGATCATAAAGGGGGGATAGATTAATTCCATTGACATTGAAATCCATGACGACAATTATGAGTGGCTTATTGAGAGATTTGATTCCGTAACTGTGCCTTAATTACTTAGCGCACGCAATTGTTGTTTCAAAATAGCTACTCGCTTCATTTTATTATTTATATAATGAGCCCTTTGGGTTTATTAAAATAGAAATTACTATTTGATTTTCATTTGTGGTATAATGCATGTATATCTGCTAACCTTCATACTTTTAACTAGGTTTTGTCACTGTGGCAGTGAAAATGCATTTAAGTAATTGACTCTATTTTTTTACCTAGAAAACGTGTAACAACTTCAAAGCTTTTTATTTATTTAGTAGGGGGCTAATTCCTCTGTTCGCTGAAGCTCACCAACCCCGGTGATTGCTGTTTCTTGTCATAAAAGAATTGAAATTATTCGACTAAAAATATATGTACTAAAAAGAACACTTGTGCCGCCACTTCCCAAGTTCAAATATTTCCCTTATGATACTACTAAGATCTATTATTGAACATAAATTATTTTTCTAAGTAATCACTTTTTGAAATAACAATTAAAATTAAAAGTATATTTTTATAACAAATTTGGAGAGTTGACAACTGTAATTTAATATTTTTGCTCACCAAACGAACGGATGGAATTTAAATCTACTTTTTGTATTCATCACTTTGTGCATGAAGCTGAAAGTTAAGTTCTAAATCATTTAACGAATCTCCTTTAACCGTAATTCATAACAGTATGTCAATGTAATTTGCACCAAAAAATAATAATTTTAATAACGTTTCATTATATCAGGCACCGATTTAAATAAATTTATCATAAAATGTAAAGCAGAATTACATTATTCTAATAATAAAAATTTAAAAAAAACAATCCTCCTAAACTCTTAACTTAGAAAATAAACAAAATCAAAAACGTAATAATAACAGTACAGTAATTTCAACATTTAAATTAGGGAAACAAAGATATTGAGTATAGTAAAGGGCGGCGAGCTCTCTGCTTAGCGCTTATAGCTCTGCGTTTCAATAGGTAAGACTTAATTTACAAAGATATTTATAGGAAAACAATATTTTTATGACTTATATCAATTTAATGCTGATGACAACCAAACCAATATGAAAATTAATGTGGGAAAACTGGATCCTACCATGTGATTTTTCAGCCAATAAAAATGTATCGATAACAATGGAAACCTGCGACACCATCGTTAGATTTGTATGTATAGCAAGATTCACTATTACCCATACCTGCAAAGACGGCTTATAATTGAAAAATTAACAAATTGAACGGCTGATAGCACAAATTAGTTGTTATTGTTGTTGTAGTTCATTTAGGTCACACTAGAGCTGCACAATGGGCTATTGGTGATGATCTGGAAAACATCCCTGAGGATGATCCGAAGACATGCCATCACAATTTTGATCCTCTGCAGAGGGGATGGTACCCCCACTTCAGTAGCCCTACGACCTGCACGCACGCGAAGTCGCGAACTTTACGGTAGAACAGTTTTACAAAAATCAATACCACGCACCCTCGGTTCCTACGCAGACTAATGCAAGTGATCACCCACCCGCACACTGACCGCAGCCAGTGATGCTTGATTTCGGTAGTCTGCTGGGAACTGTGTCCTCTCACTATGGGAAGCACAAATCAGAAAAAACGGAGATCTCAAATATCCAGGGTTATGACCGGACTCGAACCTGCTACCTCAATGCTGCAAAACGTTCGATGGATCGGCGAGACCGCTCGGCCAGAGAGTTTTTTTTAGTTATTTATTCACAAATGCAGGCTTCTGTGATCATTATAAATATGTCTTATAAGCTCTTGTCAAGTTGAACAGCAGACAATACTAATTGGAAAAAGTCATCACAAACATGCATAAAGAATTATAGCGGGATTCGCCCCCAGCTACCTCCACGTTAAAGAGTGTTTGCGCAGATTGACGAAACCAGCAGAAATTTTATTTCAAAGTTCTTTTAATTATTTATGTTTCTTGGTATTGAAAATAATATTAAATCAATTTTTTAAAATCCAAAATTAAAATTTTTCATCATAAAGTTTTGCTACCACAACAGCAAATCCTTCATGAAATGTGTGAGAGTTTTGAGCTATGTGCGACTCGATTGATGCGGGGAAAAAAATTCCAGAGTTAAATTTTCACCAATCAAAAATCGTGATGGAATTTTTTAATAAAATTGATATTAATATTTCTGCACACTTTTACTTTTAAAATTTAAGAATATTTTAAATTTAAACTAATTTTCAAATATGTTAAAAAGATCGTCAATACTCAATTTAAACAAAATTGGCCAAATAAACAATAATTAATGTTTTTTTTATTAATTCAATAGGATATATTGAGATGATCATATCAGGATTTATCAATTTAAAAACCATGATCTTAGTTCAATCGATTAATTCAATTTCATAATTCATTGAAGATCAGTCTTAAAAGAGTTCAATATCAAGAGGAGTGAAATTTTATTTCAAAGAATATTTTTTTTTTTTCAGATTTTAAAATGCTTTTACTCTCTTTTTAAGTTTCGAATTTTTTTTTATTTAAAAACAACACAATTAACCGAAAAGGTCGAAAATAATTTAAGAAATAAGATAATTTATAATTCCAGTTTAACAAATCAAATTAAATTCGTCATTTTACAAATAAACATTTTTAAAAAAATAATTTCATAATTCTATTCAAATCAGATCAATTTTTTGATTCTTTGCAAATTACATCTTAGGGTTATTATCTTTTGCTGAACTACAACCTTGGTAGCGAATATAAAAAAATATTTACTACAAAAAAAAGGTTAATGTTCTTAAACATTTGGTGACCAGTTTGAAAAATGAAACACGTCCTTAAAATTCTTCTGATAATGCTGCAGGACTACATTATTATCCTTAACTAGATCATGTTTGAATAAAAAAATTTAAAAAATTTGCTTACAGTTAAAAGTCACGCTTTTAAACAATAATAAGAAAACAGAATTTATTTAATTTCTTGCTCAAGATAATGAAACAATTAATATGTTTTTAATGTTGAAAATGTTGTTACTATTTCCACTTTCCAATATCAGCATGAAATCAAGCGAATTTTTATGGGAGGTGTTGCATTTCTTGTTTATTAGTGGTACACTCGAAGTCCAAGAATATGACTTCGGACACGTCACGACCCGTTTTACAGGGAGAACTCAATTATACTTCCACAGAATTTTGACCTGGACCAGAGAACGATGCATTTCCAATTCAGTATCCGAGATATTAATTTGTTATGGGAACTTGGAGGACTTTGTGACCCCGACAGATTAAACGTGCACCTGTCACCATTTAATACACGAGGATTCTTCGGTCGGCTGGATTCTAACTCCCACTCTCACGAACATGAGTCCAACACTCTACCAACCAGGTGGGACGTTGAAATTAAATTATGCAAAAGATAAGCCGTTTTTATATCACCCTAATTCTTATATAACTATTCCAATTCTATAAAATAATTTTATAATTGCTGGTAGTAAAGCTGGAATGGAGTAATTGTTTTTGTCGCCTCGTTTCGAATTTTGAATGGGTAACACTGGCACCTTTCTAAAAGCATAAACTTTAAAATTGTGCTATTAGTTTTGCCCTTTTCCAAAACATTTGCTGCTAAAAAGAAAGATTGTTTACATGGAGTTAGTAAAGAAGTACTATTATTTTGCCCCCCATCTGTATTTTCAAGCGTATTTAGTTCATAGGTAATGTGTTAAAACAATTTGTTCCATCAGTGTGCAATTTTTATAGGTTGTTGCCAACCTGATAGTAAAAATTAATTCTCACCTCCTTTCCCATGTGTGAACTGACACAGGATAAACTATCTTGTCGATGTCGTTCATCAGTGGCTGCAAAATGAAAAGAGAAAAATCTATTATTATCAGGTCGTTTGTTTACCATTATTATATTTTCACCAACTCTTTCGGTTGATAAGTTATTGCGTTGTAAGAGTTGAATAAATGTAAAATGAATGTGTGCTTATAATGTGACTTTAACTCACAATTCATTACCATCAGAAAGAAACTTTTATGAAGAAATTGACAAGTATGTTTTTTTACCTGTGTAACCAGGACAGAAATGTTATACAGGTTGTCCTGTAAATGTTTTTTTATAGCCATCGTTGAACAGCCGACCCAATTTTATGGATTTACGACTACTAATGTTCAACTTTTTAGCCTTGTAATTATCAAGAAGCCTTGTAATTATCCAATCAAGAAGACAAGGGAACTCCTGGATCGAGTATTGGGAGAAATTTGCTTTCGTGGAGAACTTTGTGATGGAGCCAACCCGCATTTGCGTTACATGGAAAGGAAGGCCACGAGAACCTTCCACGGTTAGCCTGACGACAAGGGGACTCTCACCCCTGATCCGTCTACCACTGAGGATATTTCACGTCAACACTGTGGTCGGTGGAAGCCGGATGCGGAATTCGTATCGACTGGGATTCGAACCCGGTTCGCCTCATTGGAAAGCGAACGCTCTATCCTCTGCGTGGTTTTCCTCTCCATGTTAGGCAAATGTGGGTTAGCTCCATCAAAATTGTCTTCCACCAACAAAATTTCTCCCAATACTTGATCCAGGAGTTCCCTTGTCTTCTGGATAGGGTTTAAATTTACAAGGCTAAGAAGTTGTACATTAGTAGTCGTAAACCTAAACACTGGATCGGCTGTTCAACGCCGGTTATAAAATAATAGTCACATAAAATTAACATGAAAATGAAATATTTTAGAAAAATAAAAGTGAAATTTCAAAGGTACATTTATGACATGTCCATGATGGCAAGCGCCCCTAGCAGCGTAAGATGACATTTTCGGTCATGGTTTCCTAGGAAACTCCCAATCCTTATAATGTGCCCTACTTCTCCTAGAAGTTTGTCGCTACATTTACGGGACACCCTGTATATATCCAGGGGGGTTCAACAATTTTAATAAATTAGTAATGAATTAAATAGCAAAACTTGTAGAATAAGGATAATTACGCCCACTTTTTCTAAATGTCAACACAAGATAACTAGCTCATAATAACAATGAGATAAGAGTCCCTAACTATGGACGTTATCTACTTCTTCATCTGATATAATCATTTTAAAGGGTGCAAAGGATATGAGATAACTGCGAGAGAGCAGAGATGTCAACTTGCTCCACATGATTAAAAAATATTTTTTTGTGGTAACGAAATTTAAGTTAATTTTTTAATTTAGTATTTTTAGTTTTAATGAATTTTTCCACCACTGCTTATCAAAAATTCAAAGTATCAGATGAAATGCAATTTTGTAACAATTATCTCGTGGTAACCAGGGCTAAAGAGAATAGAAGGGCTAGTTCACTCCGCTCTTACAGCTGAAACTACGATTTCCCTTCTCATGACGTCACTGTGTCCACAGATCTCAGAGATCGCAAGCAAAGATATGATAACTTTGTATCTTTCTCTTTGTAAAANGATCCGTCTACCACTGAGGATATTTCACGTCAGCACTGTGGTCGGTACAAACCGGATGGGTCGGTACAATTCGTATCGACTGGGATTCGAACCCGGTTCGCCTCATTGGAAGGCGAACGCTCTATCCCCTGAGCCATCGTGGCTATCCCGTAAATGTTGAGACAAACTTCTAGGGGAAGTAGATTAAGAATACCAAGGATTAAGGATTAAATCATAAGGATTAAGAATTACCAAGGAAACCATGACCGGAAATGTTATCGTATGCCGCTAAGGGCTCTTAAATATTATGAACTGCTACATCGTGGACCTTAGAGCATCAGGTATATTTATTTATATAAATTATCTTAATTTTTTGTTTTATATTAATTACTGTCAGAAACTGCTTTCAAATAGGTAGAGTATTAGCTGTTTTATCGTCATTGAATGATTTGGCGACTCACTGGACAAGCTCACTTATTATTAAATGACGATATAGCAGCATTTCTGTGCCTATTTTAATGGAACTCTCGACAAAAACTAATATAGTAATATTTTTGAAGAGTAGTCCTCAGTGGTATCATGGGTTAGAGTCCCCTTGCCGTTAGGCTAATCGTGGGTGGTTTTCCTTTCCCTGTTATGCAAATGCGGGTTAGATCCATCAAAATTGTCCTCCAGCAATAAAATTTCTCCAAATACTTGATCCAGGAGTTCCCTTGTCTTCTGGATGGGGTTCAAATTTACAAGGCTACTTAGTTGTACATTAGTAGTCGTAAACCCAAACTCTGGATCGGCTGTTCAACGACGGTTATAAAACAATAGTAACTTGAAAATAAAATATTTTAGAAAAATAAAAGTGCAATTTCAAAGGCATATTTATGACATGTCCATAATGGCAATCGCTCCTAGAAGCGTAAGATGACATTTTCGGTCATGGTTTCCTAGGAAACTCCCAATACTTATAATGTGCTCTACTTCTCCTAGAAGTTAGTAGCTACATTTACGGGACACCCTGTATATATATACAGGGGGGGGGGGNCAGGGGGGGGGAGGGTCAACTGCTCCGCTTTCTGCTAAAATTTTATTAAATTGGCTGTGAATTAAATAGCAAAACTTGTAGAATAAGGGTAATTACTCCCACTTTTTCTAAATGTCAACACTGGCTGTTAATAACAATGAGATAAGAGTCCCTAACTATGGACGTTATCTATTTCTTCATCTGATATAATAATTTTAAAGGGTGGAAAGGATATGAGGTAACTGCGAGAGAGCAGAGATGTCAACTTGCTCCGCTTTATTAAAAAATATTTTCTTGTGGTAACGAAATTTAAGTTATTTTTTAATTCAGTATTTTCAATTTTAATACATTTTTTCACCATTGCTTATCAAAAATTCAAAGTATCAGATGAAATGCAATTTTATAGCAATTATCTCAAACTCCATTTTGCTCCCCAAACTTTATTTTTGTCATGTATGTTTCTTTGTCTAATTTCAGGATTAATGGGAAAAGAAAGAAACCAACATAAAATTCATTTCATTGCAGCTTGTTTTTGAGAAGATTAAAATATCCATGACTACTCAAAATTTTTAAAAGTTATACCATGAAAGTATTATTGCTTATTACCCAAAAAAATCGATAGTCATAAATATTTTATAATTTAAAATGGTAAAAACTAATTTTACTCCTTGCGAAAGCAAGCTATAAATGTAATGGTTTTACTGCCAGTTTTTCATAATTCCTGTCTTACTTACAGCCAACGTATACCGTCGTTGATAAAATAATGTTTCTTACTGGAAGCAATATTTGTGTTAGAATGTAAAGTTTTAATGCTCAAAGTTTAACAAAACAAAAAGAAAAGGTTTTATCTCCGTAACAAATGAATAGTTGAAACATGTAACTGTTAGTAGTACTATAATTGATGATTCCGACTAACTCTTAAAGAATTCATTTAGCACACATAAAATAGAGCACATATAACAGTCATAAGAAATACACATATTAAATGTAACAAAAGATTATACTATAGCTGATAGGAAACATTGATTCTCCTTAGAGATACAGCTTAACACAGTTCAGCTACTGAAGATAGACTAATTTTGATGTCCCTAGATCGCGCTTACGCTTATCTCTTTTACTATCTTCATCTTGCTTTATATTTATGTACTTCAGTAAAAGTTACTGATCCACTCAGTTACATCTTCATTCAGATGAATTAATTAGAGCTCCTAGCAGGGCTGATACTAAGATCTATAATTTAAATAGGAATGTACTCCGTTGCAAAATCCACAATGAATGGCAATAGCAGGAGGTTCTGCGGTTCCTCACAGTTATTCTTATAATATGTATTTCATGTTTTTACAAAGTTAACATAAAACATTCCTGATCACCACAATAATTCTATAACGCAAGCGCATATTAAGAGTTTTATGTCATAAATGGTGGGAAAATTTATAGCATTTAAGTGGTAGTTGAAGCAAGTTCAGAACTGCCAACTGCTACGCTTTGTGCAAAACTGCATACAGCGGAAGCTAAAGCTTTCGGAATAAGAGAGCTAGAACAAAGCACCGTTTCGTATGAACTTTTTCTATCATTCACATGTAGCAGTGTGGGAAATAACTTTAAATCAAATTTACAAAACAAAGAATCATATATCAGAACATAAACTTAGCTACCCCTAAGTTTCGTACAGCAAATTGTCAGTCCTAGCCAGGAGAAATTCGACTGCTTTGATGAAAAGTTAACTACCACTATAACAACTTTGGAGACTACTAGAGGCACTGCAATAAGGTTTAAAGCGGCCCAGGTGCCCATTTGAAAAATCAGGTAAAAAAATGCATTACAATTATGAGTAGTAAAAGGTTTCTAATATTTGCTTTCAATTTACTTTCAGAAAATAAACGCAACTGTAAGAGATTTCTCTTACAAATATACGCGAGAACTGTTCATAAGTCTAGGTAGTCACGAATATTTTACAGCTCCCTAAAAAAAACCTGCAGAAATGAAATGTTTTAACCACTACGTTTTTCTCCTCAACGTTTTAATTTTCGTTTTGATAAAAATTACAAATAATAAGGTTTAGTAAGAGATTACTTCATAACTTGTAAAAGTCAAAAGAAAATAATAATGGTCTACTAAAAAATTACACTATCACTGGTCAATAAGAAATAATAATATCTACTAAAGTATAGTAAGAGATTACTCAATCACTGATAGAAGTCAATAAGAAATAATAATGTGAGGTAAATAATTACTCCATTACTGGTAAAAGTCAATAAGAAGTGATAATGTCAACTAAAAAATTATTCCGTTACTGGCAAAAGTCAATAAGAAATAATAACGTCTACTAAAGTATAGTAAGAGATTACTCAATCATTGATAGAAGTCAATAAGAAATAATAATGTAAGGTAAATGATTACTCCATTACAGGTGAA